ATAATTTGTTAAACTTATCATTGTGTGATTGTGTTTGTTTCTCCTAACTACAGTTGGAGTCTGAGGCGACTCACAGAGCCGTCACCATTGCCAACAGGGTAAACAGACATGATATTAGATTTTTACATCCTGTTCGTATGCATATGTCTGAATGTTAGTGATAAACAAATGGATCCAATCGTGATTACAGGCTCGCTGTCCGATCTACCTGGTGAATGTGTCCAGTATGGCTGCTGGAGACATGATCAGTGCTGCTAAGATGCAAGGTGAGTGGCCGGCTTAGTCCGTGAAGTTGGTGACGGTGATAAAGAGAGAAGATAATCATCCGTCTCTTTTCTTTCTATCTCTCAAGGTAAGGTAGTCCATGCAGAGACCACTGTAGCCCATGCGGTGCTGAACGGGATGCAGTATTACCACCAGGACTGGTCACATGCCGCCGCCCACGTCATCGTCCCTCCTCTTCGCCTCGACCCCAACACACCCAGCTACCTCATGGGCCTGCTGGGCAAGTATGTGCACAGCAGCTTCACAAATACAGAGCAAACAGTGGCTCTAAAACCGATCACTTGAAAGAAGGTGTTATGGATACATCCATTCCCTTGAACTAATCGCACGTATCCTTCTACCAGTGACACTCTGAGCGTCGTGGCATCAGAGCACCGTCCATTTAGCACCAAGCAGAGAGCTTTGGGCAAAGAGGACTTCACCAAGATCCCTCATGGAGTTGCTGGAGTCCAGGACAGGATGAGTGTCATCTGGGAGAGAGGAGTGGTACGTACACACAAACACACACTGACACGTTAATCTGCAAATCTGTCTGTGCAGCATTAAACACAAGTTTGATTGTTCAAATCAGAACAGCTTTGGGTTTCTTACAGTCATTTTTCCAGTGTTGTGTCGGTGCTCATCTGGTGACGTTTTTTTGTATTTTTAACTAATTTAACTAATTTTTAATGCATCACTACCTGCAGGTGACAGGAAAGATGGACGAAAATCGTTTTGTGGCAGTGACGAGCTCTAACGCTGCAAAGATCTACAACCTGTACCCTCGCAAGGGCCGCATCATCGCCGGGGCAGATGCCGATGTGGTGGTTTGGGATCCAGATGCAACAAGGTACGTGGTTAAAGTTGAAACCTGAAGGCGTGGGTCACAAACACAGGCAATATGTCATGATTGTTTAATTAAGTGCAAAACTAAAACTGGAGTTAATGGCTTTTGTGTTTTGGTGCAGGACAATCTCTGTGAGCACGCAGGTGCAGGGCGGAGACTTCAACCTGTACGAGGGGCTGCGCTGCCACGGCGTTCCTCTGGTCACTATCAGCCGCGGACGTCTGGTGTGCGAGAACGATGCGTTCATGTGCGCAGAGGGATCTGGAAAGTTCTACTCTCAGCGCACTTTCCCTGACTACCTCTATAAAAAGATGGTGCAGAGAGAAAAGGTTTGTTCGCTTCATTCACTCACATCAGTGTTTCTCTCATCACTCCCTCACCAAAGATAATGAATATTTTATTTTACTGCATTTCCTAAAATTATGTAAGTGCTCCCAAAAAATAAACTAGGGTAACGAGACTTTTGCTGTGCTGTCAGCTGACAGTGAAACTACAGCAAGCACACCCATCAAACTGTCTAGCTCCACTGATTCAACTGTTTTATAAAGGTTGTAATGCTCCCTCTGAGCGCTGACGCTGTTCCTCTGCAAAAAGCTCCATCACAGCCTCTTTGGCTCGGCTCTATTTTAGGTGCACTAGATAATTTATACAACTTACTGCTGGGGAGGTATTTGATGCGCATGTTATTTACTGTGTTCTTTGAGTGAGAATCGGACAAAGAAATCTATACTGTATGAATGTAATGTGTGTGTATTGAAGAGGTTCATTGTTTGATTTAGACTCAGGCTTACAAAGGAGTCGACAGGGATCCATACTCCGGTGACGTGGCCATGGTGGCGAACACCATGAAGAAGGAGCTCGGTTTGGGCCCAATCGATGGAGATTCATCCAACAAGCTCGTTGCTCGGGCGCACCAGGGCGTCCGAGACCTTCACGAGTCGTCCTTCAGCCTCTCTGGTAGGAGGCAACACGACTGACAGCGTTGCAGTTGTTTAGTTGAATCCTTGTTGTAACTGAAACTCATGTTTGTTTCTCTCAGGCTCCCAGGTGGATGACCACATCCCCAAGAGGTCCTCGGCTCGGATCCTGGCCCCTCCCGGCGGTCGCTCCAGTGGAATCTGGTAATCGCCGGTGACGACCTCCAACCGTCCGAGCCTCCTCCATGTTTTGTATATTTCTGAGCAACCAGGAAAACTGCACTGATTTTCAATCGCAGGATTTAAGTTGAGAGGGGAAAAATAAATTCCAGCACTTTGTCTGTGATTATTGACAAACTAACTGAAGATTTGCCAAAGTGACTTTTACAAATCTAATTTGTGTCTTAATTGGAGTGACTGATCTGATTAATTGAGAGTGAAGGGCTACCTATGAATTTACATGTTCTGCCAAATTCAAGCTGACCATGCTAACATTGATAAAGTCTGCTCATTATCACCCTGCTCGTATCCCGTGAAAAAAACGAAACAAACTGTGAAAGATCAAAACCAGTACAGTTTTTTAAGGTTTGAACTGAAGTGATGTCGAACGAATTATTTAAAAAAAAATAGTCAAACTGCATTCAGTGACATATCTATTAAACCCCCGTCACACACACGCGTACACTGTAGACAGCATAGCTTTAGACTCATACGACGATGTGTGCGTGGATTCTGTTTGTGATTAAACCGCCCGCTGTGCTCGGCTTCCTGCGGCGCGGCGGGTTTCCTCTAACAGTGTTTTTGTTTCCGATGGACGAATCTGTGCTGTGTGGTGATGAAATCTAACTGCTTTGTAAAACAGTGTGATCTTACAGCTGCACTCTCATCCACCCAACTCCACTGCCTCTGACTGGAACAACACATTTCCCACAAACATCCCAGCCTCACCTGTAACAGAGCAGGTTCTGTAGCCTGAGTGGAATAATACAACCCGTGGGCTTTACACTCTGGTCCCACGACAGCTGCTGTCGTGGAAACCTCCGCTTGTGTCGTGGCGTCTATCGACCTCGCAAAGCGCTCGAAGCCCTGAGGAGAAGTCAGTTCAGTTTCTTAAAGAAGGATGTTGAGCAAGTGATTTAAAGATCAGAGTGAAAACATAAACAGAAGAATCGTTGCTGCTGTAATTAGAGCTCATTTAACTGTTACAGTTTGACTGCTGGGAACACCAGGGTCCTTATTTATCAGACTGTGAGTAAAACAAATTGAAATCAAATATGCACAGTTTTATACACAAATGTTCCTTTAAATTGTATGTGTGATTACCAGTGTCTGTGAACAGGCTGAGCAGCGTTAAAGCACAGTCAGCCATTTTTTATATTTTTATTACTGTCAACAAACCCCATGTTGTCGTCGGCACTTCATCAGACTGTTTGAGTCTCAGCTCTGAGCTCGTGTTAGGGATCGAAAGTTAATTACAATGCGTGCAAAGAAAAGTGTTGTGTGATGTACTTCACGTGTATTTTTAAAGCTTTTTAAAAATATTTTTGCTCAATGGCACTGAATTAACAACATGAGGCTTTGACTGTACTGATGATTTGTTAATGGGACCAATTTATTGCTGGTTTTAGTCTTTTTTTATTGGGATTTATCGACAGTAAGAAAAATCTAGAATATCAACAGACATATCCTTTATTTAAATAAAATCAGGATGAGTGTCAAACTCTGTTTTTGTAGAATAAAGTGTGATTGTTGTAAGAGCAGCGTGTCTCCTCAGAGCAGAAGGATTGAGCTGCACAGGCTGAAGAAAACCACTGGTCTCATTCCTGCCTCACAGTATTATATTTATACATGATCACACATCCTTGCCTGTGTACTATCTATTTAGGGTGTTTGTTTTTATTTTTTAGTTGAAAGAATAAATGTGCCAATGTGAATCACCCGTGCCACATCGACACCCATGCATGAAGAGCACCACGAGGAGACGGAGGAGTTGAACGACACAGGTTCACAACAACTGGTGCTTTTTTTTACGATAACCTACGACGGCTACGTTATTTTATTGTTGGACGGTTTTGTTGTGTTGAAGGCACTGTGACTGGTCAGTGTGTGTTTGTAGACTCTTGTTGTGTTGGACAGTGAACCTGTTGAATCTATACATGGCTGCTTGTTTCTTACCACAAGAATAACAGCAAAGAATAAAGTGAAAACAAAACCTCCTTCTTGTTGTTGTGTTTAAAATGCAAAGGTTTGTGGTGTCAGTCGGACTAATGTATATTAACAATTATTTTAGTAATGGATGTCTTTGAAAAAGTACAAGATGACACACACTCATTCAAAGGGCAGTAAGTCCTGTGGTGTAAATGTCATTACATTTTGTAATAGTGAAACCTTTTCCATTATTCAGTACCTCGATCATCTGACAAAATTAGTCT